ATGGCATTTTGGTTATGCATAGAATCTTCACCCCAATCAAATCTCCTCTGCAACCGCTCGAACTCGTGACGCCTCGTGACTTCCACGTTTTGCCACTCTTCCCATCTCTCTGCAAGCCCTTCTCCTTCTAACATCCTTACAACTTCCGACATCACTGGTCTTTCTTCCGGCGAACCTTGTGTGCAAAGCAAAGCCACTTGTATCATCATCTCTACTTCTTCTTTTATATACTCTCCATCCAAATTCTTATCTACAATTGCTCCCAATCTCTTCTCTCTTTCCAGTTTCTTCACCTGCCCAAACAATAAAAATACCAAAAGATTGTGGTTAATAAAAGTTCGAGAGAAGCTGTTTGATGGGAAATGTTCGGTTATAGTTATACGTGGTCAAGCAGCAAGACATCATCTTCTTCCTCCAAACGGGAAAAGTCTATCGCGCGTTGGCCAGTAACGAGCTCAAGAAGCATAATGCCATACCCGAAAACATCGGTTCTCTCTGATGATTTCCCCGTGGATAGATATTCAGGAGCAATGTGACCCATTGTTCCTCGAACTTGAGTAGTCACATTGGTCCTTCTAACATCCACCAATTTGGCTAAACCGAAATCACCAACCACTGCTTCAAAATCTTCATCAAGTAGCACGTTTGCTGCTTTCACATCGCGATGTATGATCTTCGGATTGCAATGCTCGTGAAGATATTCAAAACCACGCGCTGCTCCTAAGGCAATCCGTTTCCTCGTCTCCCAATCCAGAACCGGGTCGCCTGGTTTAATCTCTCTGAGACGATAAGCAACGCTTAGATTCTGCATGTAGGGATAGACCAAAAGGCGTTCTGTTTGCGTGGTGCAAAAACCGATAAGACGCAACAGATTCCTGTGAACAGCTACACTTATCATCTCGACTTCCCTCTGGAAAGCAGCATCTCCACCAGGACTTTCGAAATCCGTCAATCTCTTCACAGCAACTTTTGTGTTATCCGGAAGTATTCCTTTGTAAACTTTCCCAAAGCCTCCTTGACCGAGCACATTCTTTTCGCTGAAGTTATCTGTAGCCAATTGGAGCTCTCTCCATGCAAATCTTTTCAACTGACCAAATGCAATCCTCCTGTCTACTTCACCTACAAAAATAGATAAAGTTCGAAGATTTAAGCCTCTTTATTTCACACATCTGCATATCAATTCATCATAACATACCAAAATCATATACAGACCTGCAACATCAACGAACACGTCACGTCTATATCCTTTATGCCTATCCTTGCAGAACAAAAACAACAAGATTCCAAAGAGAATCACTGTAACTCCAGCAACAACTCCAGCAATAATGCCAGTTTTTGGCTTTTTTGAATCACCTATCAAAACAGATTAAATGCGGTTAAGAATTAAAATTCTTTCATATTCTTTAATCGGTTGCATATAAGGAAAATACGGTTAAGAGCAATTGCAAGTGTAGTTACTTGAATGGGCAACTACAGATACACAAGGCTGAAGTTGACCACCACCACAATTCAAGTTGTTTGCCGTGAAACTATATTCGATAAGACCATATCAGATTATTGCTACAAGAAACAAAAATTTCGGATTTAACTTGTAAAGTAATCGAAAGTACTTGTATTTTGGAATCTCAAATAGACGTTGAGGAATCTGTCCACTGAGATTATTGGAATCAAGCAGACTGTAAAAAGTAGTTTCAAACAATGGAATTAAGACAAGAATGGTCCCAAAAGTATGAGAAGCATATACACGGAGAACAGTAACTTACAGATTTATCAGGTTTGGAAGACCAGTGAGTGACTCCGGGATAGTCCCATTAAGTTTGTTCCTACTCAAGGTCCTACTTGGCCAATAAACGGTGAATATGAAAACATGATCCTTCTCTATGCCTTAAATTTTTAAAAACATGTGCAAGATTAAACAGCATTGGGAGGCAAAACTACTTACAAGAACTGAAGTTTCTTGAGATTACCAAGAGTGGGTGGTATAAGACCACTTAGCTGATTGTCCTCCAAATCCAAGCTGGTCAAGCTTGTCAGATTTCCAAAGTCTTCTGGTATTCCACCCGTAATTCCATTTCCCTTCAACGTACTATATTAAAAGAATAAGAGCAAAATTCTCATTACAAAATACGTCGTAGGACCCCGTACAAAATGAGAGGTTACTCTAGTGCACTTACAGAGTCTTGAGGGTTCCAAGGATTCCTAATCTTGAAGACAAGGTTCCCGAGAAGTTCATGTCCGACAAGGTACTACAATCACAAATGCCACAGATATAAATTCTTCTCCCACACGAAAAGCTCCCTTGGAGACACTACAGTTACTACTAATTGAGAGTTATTATTCAACATCTTACAGAGAAGTGACAAAGTCTTTGTCATCACAAATAACTTGAGACCAAGTGCAAGGATTAACTTGATTCTGGTTCCAGTCACTTAGCTGATTTGGTAATGCGTGTAACGACATCCTCAACGCATATAACGCATCCCCTAAATTGAAAAAAGCAAAACATAAGCCAAGATCAGAAATCTTTACATTATACATAAGCTACTCACAAAATTTTACCATAAAATAGAACTAAGAAATGAGAGAAGAAATAGAAAAAAAAAGCAAGTAATAAATGTCATCATCATCATTACCTTGAGCATCTGGTGACACAAATGACCATAAACATGCAAAAACCAAGACAGTAGTAAAAGCCATAGACATCATCTTCTTCAAGCTCAACATTTTTATCTCATAAAAATTGAAACTTGTTCCATGATTCCATCTACAACAAACGTTTAAACAACATTAGAACACAA